ACGCCCTCTGCCTTGACGGTGAATGATGTTGGCTCTAAGCAGAACTTCTTGGCGTTGTATTTGCCTGACTTGAAGGCAAAGCTATCAACACCTCCATCTATGGTAGGGCACTGGTTGGCAGTTCCAGTTCCCTTTACTTCCATGTATGTCTTGCTCTGAATCTCGTCAAAGGTTAGACGTTTTGGAACTCCTTCAGCATTAGCTCCCTACATGATCAAGTTGCAAATCTTTAGAAATTTTCTCTCTTAGACACAGGACATCAAAAAAAGGACACAAAGCATAAAGCAGTTGATCACTAAAGGAACATGAACTATAGATGACAATATAAACATTCCAAAAATGAGCAGTTTTAAGTTACTCTATGAACCATCAAAGTCCAGATATAGAATTTTTGCTGCTATTTTACCTTCCTAGAAGATAATATAATATCATAGTGATTATAAGGCATGGTTGCTATTCTTACTAGTGTGTTCTATTTAACAGTTTAAAACGAGATGATTGCACAATTTAACAAAACAAAGACATTATTAACTTACTGAGACAACAAGGGCAGAAGTGGCAAGGGCAAATCCAGCAATCTTGGCAGCATCAGTACATTTCTGAGCAAAATCTTTAAGATCAGTTTGCAAAGAGCAAGAAAGCCTGGATGCAGATGGTTCAAGACCAAATGCCTTGCTCACACTTTGAGATGACCTCAATTGCAAGTTGTTTCTGGCAGAGACACCACCAACCTTAGTTGGTTGCATAAGAGTAGCAGCTGCTTGTAGAGAGGCTGCCATTTTGTTTTGTTTTGTTTTTCTGATCAGTTTTCTGCTGCTCTTTGTTTCTGTTTATTAGAAACTAACAAGTGTGACAGTTGGATGGTCAGATTGCAGAAATAATTTTTGGTGGTTTTGCTGTGGGTAAGATAAGATATAGGATAAGCTTTTCTTTCATTGGTTTCTTAGCTTGCCATGTGGCAATGTTAGTACTTTGGATGAAGATATACAACTCCTTCAATCTTGTATTTAAATTGATTGACAATCATGTTTTTGTTTGATACTAGCAATTAAAACAAAAATGGCCCATGCAGGTCTCGAACCTGCGACCTTCGCGTTATTAGCACGACGCTCTAACCAACTGAGCTAATGGGCCAGATGTCTAAAATGTTATCTTATTTTTATATAGACAAAATTAATACACTTCCATTTTTATCAAAATAAAATGTGAACCAAAATATAAAATTATCATAGCATGGAGGTCTAATAATTTTTTAATATTCAAATTAATCTGAATGGAGGGAGTAACAGAGAAGGAATCGGAAGTCTTAGTTAATTTTTGGCCCCAAATTTCTAAATATTCCTAACAAATTATTTATGGGTGAAGTTTCACTATGCATTTGGCCATATATTTTAGCAGAAATATTAGATTATTTCAAAAAATATGATTTATATTCATAAGTTCTAAAAGTTACTATAAATATCTTTAAGTTTGTATTGTCATTTTATGATAAAAGTATAAAACATGTTGCGTTGAAAAATAACCTTATAACAAAATTGATAATAATCAACTACACCAAAATAACAATATGGACAAGACTCAAGAGCAATACACCAATCACATATTCAAACTTGTCACTGATTCAAGATGAATTATAACTCATTAAAAACAAATTGTTTTTTTTTTGCCATGTTCTACATAGATAGCAAAAATGAAAGTTATTAGTTATTAATGGAGTAATTTGGTAGACAAATATTAGTTGAAATTAATAAATGATGGATATTTTCTTTTTATAAAAATATAAAATTTGGAATATTTTTTAAATTTTTTAAAATTCTCAAATATTAGAACTTGGCCATATACTATTTTTTTTAAAAATATTTTGGAACTTATGTTTTAATTATTCACTATTGGACAATATGTTTGGTCTGTGAAGAAGAAACTGAAAAGAAAAGTACTATATGACTCTGTATTACTATATATAATAAGTGAGGAGAATTTAACACCATTAATTACCTACTACTTTATTAGCCGAAAAGTTTGACCTCATTTGGGCCCATTTATTCTTTATATGTTTTCAATTTTCAATATATGTTGTCTATCTAATTCTTTTTTTCAACCTTTTATTTTAAACTTCTTGAAATTTAATTACCTATTTATTATTCTCTCTATGTACTTTTAATTGTTATGATTTCCTTTTTAGAGTCAAACTATAAGAATTTTAACTAATATTTTACAATGTGTTTTTTCATCATATTCATAGGCAAAAAATAACAATTTATATTACTTTTTGTATAGATTTTGCATATTTAAATTATTATTTTTAAAATATTGAATTAATACAATCTGATTTAACTTTGAAAATTAGTCAAATGGACTTTCAAAAAGCGCAACATGACAAATACAAGCGGAGAGAGTATATTTTAGCTACAAAATATATTAGAGGTACAACTTTTTAAAAAATTTAAATTTTTGTTGCGTTGACTCTTGAAATCTTATCATTGTCATATGAATTTGAACAAATTATATATTATTAAAAGTTACATAAAAGATGCTATAAATCACAATAATTATCAATTAAAAATATTTTTAAATCATATAAGAAATTTGGTTGACTAATTGGAATAGAATAAGTAACATGTACTATTTGAAAATAACGTCAAAATTTCTAGAATTCACAATAAACTAATTACTGAAAATATTTATGATTATTCACGTGAATTGAAACATGAGTAACCTATATTATTCAAAACTAACGCAAAATACTATAAAACACAACAATTTAATAACTTCAAATATATTTTTAAGAAAACATATAAAAAATCAACTGATCTTCAAATTCCATTTATATCACACAAATTAAAACAATTTTTTTTTATTGGGCCCGTACTGGCACGGGCACCAAATATCTATATAATATGTGTCACAAATGGAAAAGTCCCAATCAAGGAAGCAACATATATCATTTACAAATGACTTAAAAAACATTAAAAATTACAATAATTACCAATTTAAAAGCTATATAATACAATACGTTGACTCTCAGAATTCTAGCAGGCTCACATATATTGGGACAGAAAAAATAACACATATCATTTTAAAATTACCAAAAAAGTATTATAAATAATAATAATTAACAACTTAAAATATCTAAAAG